GGGGGGGGGGAGGGAGGAAGGATGAATATGGGATCAGGGAAGAATATATTTCAACTAATGGAGTCATTTTAGGGTTCACAGGAGGCTTGATTATAAATGGGATCCCAGGTCCAAGGAGAGATCCCCCAGATTGCTCTCTGGACAGAGGAGAGGGTGCCTGAATCGGCCGTGGCCCATGACCATACTGAAGTATATTTTGCTTATCACCATAGATCCTTCATCTGGCGAAGGACGGCGATACAGTCGGAGACCCACACTGGAGCACCGGACTGTGCCCCCCGAGGTCCAAATGAGGAACAGAAGGAGGAAGAACATGAAAAACGAAATCGGTACTGCGAGGGATGCTATCACCCACTGATACAAGGGAACGGATCTAATGAGAGTTTACCAAGGCCAGTTGGACTGGGACTGAACGAGGACGTGATCTAACCAGATTCTCAGAATTTGGCCGGATTCTCTGAACGTGGCTGGCCCAAATTCTTTCTGAAAAGCCATTGACTATGACACTTACACTTGTTTCCTCTGCATATACTGGATTTTGGGGATCCAGTCTGTTTGAATACTCACCTTCCTGGACCTGGAGGGAGGGGGGAGGAACTTGAACTTCCCACAGGGCAGGAAACCCTGACTGCCCTAAGGGACGAAGAGGGAAGAGGAGAGGGAGTGGGGGGAGTGGGAGGGTGTTGGGAGGGGGGGCGGAAATGGAAACTTTTATAATTTCATAAAATTACTTTTTTAAAAAAAACTTATTTACAAAAAAAAGGATTGAACAACTCCAAGTCAACACAGAGAGAATTTGTCTTTTTAAGGTAACATGGAAGGAAACAAGCATTTCTAACTGAATACTCCTCAAACCAAACTCATTATTTTTACCACAGTGCTCAAGAAATGGTAATGTATCCATCCTGCTCACCTAAACCAGAATATAATCACCATCTGCTTCTTTATCTCATCCCATAGCATAACTGCAATTAATTTAAATTTTAAATAAATTTTAAAGCACTTTTTATCACCTCTTGAAATGTCCTCCCACTAAGCCTTGCCTGGATATATATGTAGTCTCAAGAATATTTCTCTATTATTTTTTTTATTTTTACTACATAAAACAATCAAACTGAAGTCTCTTCAAATATCTCCCTCTTTAACATCTGTTAGTCCTTCCTATCCTTCAATGAACAAATTCTAAAAACCTTAGTATACCTCAGTCTCTTTTGCCCACCTCTGTTGGCCTAAATGGGCACTATCTTATCAACTTACATTATGTTTCCTAGTCTTTAATCATATACTATGTACTTTCATATCCGAGGCCCAATGTACCTTTATTTCTCTTGGGCTAGATTTAATCATTCTTTCAGTCTTAGACAAAATTTTACATTATTTCAATGTGGACTCTTAAGTAAAGTGCTCGAGAAATGGTACTGTGTTTGGTACATCTGAAGTGCATTAGAAAGCATTTAAATTTCCTCTTTAAATGTTCACTCATCGCTCTTATTTGTGATTATTGGATTTTTGGTTTCCCTGCCAGGCTGAAAGTTTTGGAAAGTATCCAAGTCTGCCTTGTTTATAACAGATACTAAATAATTATGCTAACAAGTAAGTGATCGTGTCCAGATGGTATGCTTAAACAACAGGGTTAAACCTCCAGTTTAAATCAACATTAAAAAGTATAATTTACACAAAGTAACATATTTTAAGGGTTTATACATTATATATATGCACACACAAGTATAAAAATGATTCAAAATATAAAATCTGTATAATCCCAGAGAAATCCTACATATGCCTTTGTAATAAGTTGACTTTCTCATCCCTCATGTGTGGTACTTCATAATGTTTTTGTTTTATCACAAGAGTTTAATAAAAATTTTAGTTTAATGCAAAAAGAAAACATAATGTGCACTTGTATTTTTTCACTCAGAACAAATTTCTTGTGAATCATCAAACTTGCTGCAAGTACTTCTGTTTTGCTCTTTCTTAGCTGCTGAGTAGAATTGCAATTCCAGTCTCCTTGTACTGCATAGACAAAGCACATGAGGCTGGGGATGATGTGTGAAGAATATATGTAGTCGGAGACTGCTCTGTTGTTTAACATTGCCAAGACCCAAATAATCAAACATAAACTGTATTAACTAAAACACTGGTTGGTAAATCACTTAAGTGTATTTCTAGCTATCTCTTGCATCTTAAATTAACCCATTTCTATTATTTTATATTTTACCACGAGGCCTGTGGTTTTCCAGTACTGGTGCGCAGGTGTCTTTCTCCTCTGGTGGCTACACGGCATCTCTCTGACTCCACCTACTTTCTCTTTCCTATATCTCCTACAGCCTGGTTATATTCTGTTAAGCCGTTGGCCAAAAGCAGCTTTTTTATTAATCAATAGCAATAAAACATAGCATACAGAGGGGAATCCCACACCACCTCCGTTTTTCTGTCTAATTAAAAAAGAAAGTTTTAACTTTAATATAGTATAACTATGTATAACAAAACAGTTATCAAACAAGAATTATAGTTACAATACTTAGTCCACTTACTTTGGCAAAACTGTCTTTGAAATTTTCTGCTTCATGGAAAAGTCTACTGGATACTATGGGCCTGAAGGCTGAAAGTGGATGGCCCAATGTTAGAGAAGAACTTTGGGTGACTGCTCAGGCAGCGAGATGTCTCTGTCAATTCTAGAGCTTTAGAAGTTTCTTACAATACACTTCCTGTTAACATAGGTAATATTATATCCTTCTGGGGGTCTTTAATGGAATTGAAGAACAGATAGTTATACTTTTCTTTAGTTATGATAAAAAATAGTTATCAAACTTTAGACTCACAATGATAGGATACTTTTAAAGTACATATGTTGGTTTAGCTCAGCAGCCCATACAATGAAATGTCACTCTGTACTTAGCTCATTCACAGTCAAAAAATTCAAAGAGAACGCAATAATATACATATTCCAGACTTTTTGTGTATATTCCATATTAATGTGGCTTATTATTTTACTCCTTTAATCCATGACTGTCTGTACTCTGTCTTTTTAAAGACTTTACTTTTTTTTTTTAAAATAACTGTCTATACTTTTTCCTCTCTCTCCCAAGCCTATGTCCATTTATCAAATACTGTGACCCATTTAGAGGTCTTTTTCATCTCAATTTGTCTTTATTGAGTATCTGTAATCCTTTTCTTACCAGGGCAGTTTCTCAAAGTGCTAAGCAGCATGGGTAGGGCTAAGGCTGCTTTGTCTTTTGGCTCTGCCCAGTCCAACATGGCAGTGGTCTATTCACTGTCCCTGAGACTGCTGGGTGGGAGCCGTCCTCACCACTTCAACTCTGGGTAGCACCATTCAGCATATACACTCTTTTTTCCCCCACAATAAAACTTTATTCTTACATAGTTACAGCTTTGGAACAATAAAAAGATACACCCATTTGTTATCTAGGAAAAGAATCTGAAGCAGCAGGTGGGAAAGAGGGTGGTCATGGTGCCTTGGTTATACTTATGGTTATCAGCTCTGTTCAATGTATGTAGAGATATCTATTCCTTCTGAAAGCTTTGCCACATTCACTTCAAACCAGTCCTGAACATCATTGAAGATTTTGGCATCATTCTCATCAGATACAAAAGTGACTGCCAGGCCTTTAGTACCAAAGTGACCAGCACAAGCCACTCCATGAAGGTAGATATCTGAGTCCTCTGGCATGTCATAGTTGAAGACGATGTTGACTCACTCCATGTCCATACCTCTACCAAACAGATTGGTAGCTAACAGGATGCACCACTGGAAGTCCTTGAACTGCTGGTAGCAGGACAGACACTCCTCCTGGGGCATGTCTCGATGAATGGCAACGGCTGAGAGGTTCTGTTTCACTAGGAGCTGGGCCAGGGCACTGCAGCATTGCACAGACTTGACAAAGATCACTACCTGGTTAGTCTCTGGGATGTCAACGAGGTCAAAGAGCTTCTGGTTCTTCTCATTGTCCTTGAGCTTGACATAGTACTGCTGTAGACAGTGCAGTGTGAGGTTGGTCTCATCATCCACAAACACCTCCATTGCATCCTGCATGAACTTCCTGCAGACTGGTCGGATCTCCTTGCTCAGGGTGGCACTGAATAGCATGTGCTGCTTTTTATGGGGTGTCAGGCGAAAGATCTCTTGCACCTCCTGGCACATGTCCAGCTGTTCCAGCATCTTGTCACACTCATCTAGCACAAGGTGCTTTACATTCCTTAGGTTGAGGCTCTTGTTCCATACAAGTGCCAGGATCTGGCCTGGTGTCCCTGTTACAACATGAGAACAGTTCTTCAACACATCTTCATCCTTCTTAATGGAAAGGTCCCCAAAGAACACAGATACCTTGATACTGGTCATGTACTTAAAGAAGTGCTCATACTCCTTGCTGATCTGGAAGGCCAGCTCCCTTGTGTGGCACATGACTAGTACTGATACCCGGCCATTGATGGGCTTGATCTGCTGCAGGATGGCCAGCACAAACACAGCTGTCTTACACATCCCAGACTTGGCCTGGTATTAACGAATCAATCCCACACCAGTTATGTTTTAAGGGGTTATTTATTTGGCGGGGGGTAAAACTTACATACACCATAAACCGTCAGGAAGGGAGCCTAGTCGCAGGAGCCGGGAGCAAGAGCCAGGAGCAAGCACCGGAACCAAGAGCCGGAACCAAGAGGGCCTATTCCGGATACGCTTCTCTTTTTAAAAGAGAAATATACCACGCCCCAGTGGGCTGGTATTTCAGCAGCTATTGGCTGACGGAGCGGAAGTCACTCCCCGCTGCACTGTGGGCTCGTATTTCAGCGACTATTGGTTGAGGCAGCGGAAGTTACTCCCACAACAGCCTGGCACAGGACATTCATACCCATAATGGCCCGGGGAATACACTCATGCTGGACCTCTGAAGGATGCTCAAAGCCACAGTCAACTATGACTCTCAGGAGTTTTGGCTTCAGCAGAGAGTCCCGGAAACCAGAACTGTGAATGGAGACAAAAGATCCTTTGACGTCTTTCTTTGGGGGGAGCTGGAGTACTCTCCTTGGGTGCTTGGGGCTCATCATCTTTATCATAGTCCAAAAGTTCATTTTCCACTTCTTGTTCTGCCATGGCACTGTTGTCCAGTGCACTGTGTTTTGCCTTTATGTATGTCTGTGTGAGGGTGTTGGATTCTGGAGTTACAGATAGCTATAAACTGCTATTAGGGTGCTGGGAATTGAACCCAAGTCCTTGGGAGGAATAGCCAGTGCTCTCAATTGTTGAGCCATCTTTCTAGCCTCAAGTGTTATAATTCTTATAGTCTTTTATACTTATGGAAACATAGGCATTCAAGATCTAGGAGCTACATCAGTGAGAATCATCACAAAATAGGATAACATCACTTGATAAGAGGGTAGTGGAGGAAGGGAAGAAGAGAGAATCAGAAGATTGAACTCACTCATTTTTTTAAAATCATGAACTAACTCTTGTGATAATAGCATTTGTTGACCCATAATAGTACATCTAATGATGTTTCAATGATTTAATCTCCTAAAATTTACATTTAGGATCATCTCCCAGCACATGAATTTTTGGGGACACATTTGAGCCATGGAAAAGTCACTGTACAATCATTGATATTTTTTCTCCCATTCTCCTGCTATATACCAGGCAATTTCCAGATTTTACCAACTATGAAGGTGAGGTAGAAGTTGAATGATTTGTGTCTTTGCTTTTCATGAGCTCTAGTTACTCACTGTCACTTGGCATTTTCAGTCATTTTAAACTTCTCTATTCTAATAACTATGAAGTGGTATCTCATTATGATCATAATTTTCATTTCTCTAGCTACTAAAAGTGCCGGAAAGGTCTTTATGTGTTTATTGTCAATCCAAATAGAGTTTTTTCTGTGAAATATCTGCTTAGGTTTTTTTCATATTTTACAATTATTTTTTGTCTCTTTTTTTCTGGTAATTGATTGATTTTATCTTGAACAGTCTAGTCCCATCTATCCTGCACTGCGTCCCAACAGTTTAGGCCAGGTTTCCACAAACATGTCAAGACCTGAGCCAACAGAGTGTTCTAGATAGTAGGCCTCTGATGATATTGGTTCCTATATCCCTTCCCTTTTCAAGAGCTGTCATTTTTTTTTTGATTTTTTTTTCTGACCACTTTGAACCTGATAGAAGAGAAAGTGGGAAGTAGTCTACAAGATAAAGGCACAGGAGACCACTTCCTAAGTAGAACCCCAGTAGCACAGACAATAAGAGAATCAATGAATAAATGGGACCTCTTGAAACTGAGAAGCTTCTGTAAAGCAAAGGACACTGTCAGTAAGACAAAAAGGATACCTTCCGACTGGGAGAAGATCTTCACCAACCCCTCATCAGACAAAGGTCTGATCTCCAAAATATACAAAGAGCTCAAGAAACTAGACACTAAAACTCTAATTAACCCAATTAAAAAATGGGGTACTGAACTGAACAGAGAATTCACAACAGATGAACTTCGAGTGGCCAAAAGACACTTAAGGTCATGCTCAACCTCCTTAGCGATCAGGGAAACGCAAGTCAAAACAACTTTGAGATACCATCTTACACCTGTCAGAATAGTTTTTTGTCTCTTTACTGAGTTAACAGTATGTGTATTTTAAAAGTTTGAAAATAAAGCTTGTTCTTTTCCACTTTCTTTGATAGTGTCCTTAGAAGATTAAAGATTTTAGCTTATTTAAATCTAAACCATGTATTTTATGCCCTATTAGAGATACCACTGCAGAAAGGTTGTTGGTTGTTTCTTTTCTTTTAGAGTTTTTGTCACTCTAACTTCTACATTAGAGACATACTTATTATGAAGTTAATTTTATGGGTGGGATGAGGCAGCCACAAATATTTATTATTCTTAAACACGTGTTTAACTTTTCAAGCTCTGTTTCTTTTATTGTCTGTGGGATTTGGTCAGCCAATAGATCACCTCTGACTTTATTTCTAAACTCTTTTCTACCTAATGTTACCATGCTGCCACCAATTATTCCCCAATCCACTGACTTTGTAGATTTTTAGTTAGTTATTAAAAGTGGGCTGTTATAAGTTCTTACTTTTTTATTTATTTATTTTTTGTTTTCAAACATGCTTGGGCTATTTGAAACCTTAGCTCTTTCTGGATAAGCTTTCAAAGTCTCTGGAATTTTGCTTGGGATAATGTTAGACCTGCCAATAACCTTTACGTCTTAGCATTATTAAACGTGTCAATCCCTAAGCAAAGGACATTAGTTCATATCTCCAATATCTAGGTGATAATTAATTCTTTTAGTAATATTTCATGCTTGTGGTATAGAACTCTTATGCATCATTTTATTATTGCTGGTTTGTCTGGGAGTTTTGACTTTTTCTTAAATTTCCTTTGTTTTTGTTTGGAGGCAGTCTGTTGGGGGAATATGGGCATAGATTTGTCCATACTGCTTCCTGCTGCTTGGGGGCACTGTTAACCAGGTCTTTCCTATGTGCTAGGTTCATCTCAGTCAGCAGTTGGGCAAAGTAATTTTTTTGAGGATATTCATGGTGACCTTTCATGGGGTGTGGTCTATCAAACCATATTGGTCTAGAAACAACCTACAGGTTCTCATCTTTTGTGAAAACAAAAGAAGAATCTCTTTTCCAAAGCAACATATCCTTAGACCCAAATTTGGAAGTCATGATACCTTATCATGATACATATATGCTGGTTTAGCTTAGCAGTCCATACAATGAAATTTCTCTATGTACTTAGCTCCTTTACAGTCAAAAAATTCAAGGAAAACTCAACAATATGCAAAACCCAGACTGTCTGTGTATGCTTCATGTTTACATGACTTATATTTTTTATTCCTTCTAATCTATGGCTTTCTGTACTCTGTCTCTTTTTTTCCCCAAAGTTTATTAAATTATAAAAGTTTCCATTTCCGCCCCTCCTCCCAACACCCTCCCACTCCCCCCACTCCCTCTCCTCCTCCCTCTCCATCCCTAAGAGCAGTCAGAGTTTCCTGCCCTGTGGGAAGTTCAAGTTCCTCCCCCCTCCCTCCAGGTCCAGGAAGGTGAGTATCCAAACAGACTGGATCCCCAAAATCAAGTATATGCAGAGGAAACAAGTCCCAGTGTCATTGTCAATGGCTTTTCATTTACTCTGTCTCTTTAAAGCCTCTTTTTAAAACAATTTATTTTTTTCCCAACTCTCTATACTCTTTTTCTTCTCTCCCTCAAGCCTACATACATTTATTCAACACTGTAACCCATTTAGAGTTCTTTTATATCTAAATTTGTCCTATTGTGAATATGTAATTCTTTACTGTCTTGAAGAGCTTTTAAAATGCTAAGCAGCTTGGTTGTAGCTGCTTTGGATGCTGGTTCCACCTTTCTCCACTTTTAAAGTGGTGGAGGCTCTGGGGCCTCCAGGTAGGGACCATGCTCAGCAGTCCAACCCCGAGAATGAGTGTGCAGCATATAAACGCTTTTTATCTGAGTAACAGCGAAATATGCCACACAGAGTACTATGCAGCCTAGAAACATCTCTGTGTATGGCGGCGGGAATCTGCCATGCTCTCCCACCTGTTCAAGCCTAGTATACCTGATCTCACTGCCTGCCTAGGCAGGGAGCGCCAAGCCACAGACATGGTCTCAGCTACTTTCCTCCTGATCCCGAGTGGGCACACAAACACCCAGGCCCACAAACGCCATTGAAATGCTTCATAGCTGGAGTTTGCTCTGGCAGTGCAGCCCAGGAAACCGCATTTTAAAACCCAGCAGCTTTTCCCTGCTACGCTGAATCAGGAAAACCTCTCTTAAAGGAACTGCAGCAAGTTGCCAGCAAACAGTAAGAAGCTGTGTTAAACTCTGTACTTTTTTTGTGTGTGTCTAGAACTCCTTTTCAAGCCCTCTCAGGTTTTAGTGGATTTAGCTAGCACATGTTGGAGCACCGATCTGTAACAGGAGGGCCTGCTTGTTTGCATGTGAATTGTTTCTAGACCAATATGGTTTGATAGATGATGCCCTCCTGAAAGATCATCGTGAATACCCTCAAAAAATTACTTTGCCCAACTGCTGACTGAGATAAACCTAGCACACAGGATACACCATGAAGACCTGATTAACAGTGCCCCCAAAGAGCAAGAAGCAGTATGGACAAATCTACACCCATATTCCCCCAACTATTGGCGCCTAATGTGGGGCAAGAACCCACGACACTATGATGAAGAGTCTCATGCTCTACAGACAGAGCTAGCTGAGCAGCCAGGACAAACAAGCAGACCCTCCTGTTACAGTCTTGTTATATAATTCATACTAGCCTTGAACTCATTTAGTGCTGGGAGTACACGTTCTCCATACTCTGAAGTTATAAGTGTCAGTTAAAAAAATCTGTCTCATAGTGATTTTCTATTCTATATTTACAGTGAATCTACGTTTAGTTGCTTTTATTTTAAAGACTTCTTAAAATTCTTAAATATAACCATAAATTTATCAATTTTTTTCTGTAATATTTCCATATTTGCTTCACAAATTAGAGAATTCTGTTGTCTGTCCACACACATAATTATGGTACTAAGTCTTCCAGATGAGTCCAATTAATTGCTAATACCCTTCTATCAGTCCTAAGTCTCAGCCTTGGTGTTTACTCTGCCTGATATTAATATAATGACCTAGTTACTTCATGCTTAGATGATTTGTGTCTTTAGGTGTTGAGCACATCTCTTCAAAGTGACACATGGTTAGATTTATTTTTCATCATTTTCTTGCCCAACAACCATTACCACTTAATATTATTACTAATACAATTTGGTTTATGTTCCTACTATTTGTCAATAATTTGTAGATTATGTTTACTTTCCTTTATTTTTCTTTTTTGAGTTCTTTTGTCTTTGTTATATGATTTTTGTGTGTGTTTTACTTCTCTTATTGACCATTACCTTTAGTGGTTTCTTGGGGATTAATAATATATACCTTAGCTTATTCAAGGCCACTTATGATAATATTGTACCATTTTGTACTTTACCTTTGAAGGTCAGAAACAGAATAACTTTAAAATGGTATAATTTTATTTGTCTGGTCTCCCTGTTTTAAAGAGGAGTTGTGCAGATGCTTGGGGCCCTGTTACCTGGCACT